AGGCCACTCAGGGAGCCTGGACTGAGCCCTTCACCCTGTCTCCTTCTCGGGCTGGGAAATGGAGGCGCCCATGGACAGTAGGGGCAAAACCCAACGCTCTCTGGCCCATGTGCGTTACGTACCCTGGCCCGGCCCGCCCTGCCCCTGCTAAGACAGCAGCCCTGAGCCTGCGCCTCCGCGGGGGGCCCAAGCCCCTCCTGAGGCGTCCCCATCCTTCAGCTGGTGGCCACATGGATCAGCGGAAATTCCTCTCTGCCCCCGGAAGCCCCTGTAACACCTCCGCCCACCCCCGTACTACCACCTCCCCCTGCACCACCTCCCCGCCGCCTGTACCATCTCCCCTCTGCACTACTTCCCCATTCCCGGCTGGGGGCAGCCTCGGCTAGGATACTCTCTTCTGCCCACACCGGCCACCACCTTGCCCTTCAGGGTCTGGACCCATCTGAGCCCCTTCCAGTTAGGGTCTAGGGCCGAGTCCTGCCCTCGGTGGCCGGCTTCCCCTTCAGGCCCCAGCCCAGCTTCTCCAGGACCCGGAGAGCCGCGCGCAGCACTCAGACCTCGACTCAGGCCACGTGGTCCATTAGCCCCCGCGCTGCCCTTCCTCAGATGGTCCCAGATGGCTCTGTTGTCCACGTGGGAGTTTGGTGAGGTCAGCTCGCTTGCATACCAGGTAAGGCCACAGACCCCTGGCCACGGAGCAAGAGAGTGAAGCTGGAAGGGTTGGCCACGGGGCTCCATGTGTGGCGGGGGTGCTGCGCTAACCCTGGGTGGCCCCCAGGCCTCACCCCCCAACACACAGCTGGGGCGTGGGCTGGGCTGTTCGCAGGCTCTTGTGGCTTCAGGCCCCAAGTGACCGCACAGTCCGGGCCGAGGCCTCAGCGGCCATGGGGGTCACGGCTTTAAAGACCGTGCTTGTCCCCTGCTCCTGGTGCCTATTCCCCGTATCCCTCAGCTGCCAGCCCAGGCCCCTCTGTGCCAGGCTCGCTCCCCACGAGGAGGAGTTGCCCCAACAGCCTCCAGCGGGGCCTGGATCAATGCCATAGGCCCAGCCAGAAGGAGGCCCGATCATCAGTGACCTCTCCCCACCCTCGTCCCACTGAGGCCACCGGAACAGCATGGCAGAGACCATGGCGGTCTGCCTGGACCCAGCCTGAAACCGCATGGCCTCCTGGTGGCCGGTCATCGAAGGCTGTGGGACCGCATGCTCTGAGGCCAAGGCCGGCAGGGCGGTGAGGCAGGTGTCTGTGTGGGGGGGGTCTGTGGCTGCCTCCTTGGCTTGGTCAGTTTCCAGCCAGGCAGCCCCCCGGGCAGGAGCTCAGGCCACTGCCTCAGGATCCCGGAGTCGGGGGGGCATTCTAGGCATGGGCTGTGTTTCTCCTGGGAAGCCTGGGTTGAGCCTGCCACCCAGCGCAGGTCATGTCCTAGCCTCCAGAAGGGCACACCAAGGCCGAGAATTGTGAGGGCACGTGTGAGGTTGCTGCCCTGGCTTCCTGGGGCCATTCTAATAAATGACCATGAACCTGGAGACTTTACCAGCACGGGAACGTGTTCTCTCCCGTTCTGGGTCCTAAAGTATGAAGTCAGTGTCCTCGGGGCCCCACAGTCCTGTCCCCCCAGCTTCTGGTGGCCGCGGCCCTGCAGCACCCCCACTCCATATGGGTCCCCTTTTCTGTCTCCTACAGGGACAATGTCACGGGGCCTAGGCCTGCCTGGGTCACCAGGAGGACCCCATATGGAGAGCCTTTCCTCAATGACACCCGCAAAGACTGTCCAAACAGGTACACGGGTTCTGGGGGGACACATCTCTCGGGATCACCCTTGAGCCTGCTGCAGTCAGGGAGCAAGTTTGGCTGATGGCAGCTTCTCCAGCAATGGTCCCGTGAGGGGCAGCACCGCGGTCACGGGCTCTCCGGACCCTGACTCTGGAGCCCCACCTCCCCACTGCACCACCTCCGGGCCTGTGAACCAAGCTCTCCCGTTGCTTCTCGCACTCACCACCTCCCACACACCCCACTTCTGGAGCCGCAGGGCCCTGGGGACCACCCTGGCTGGCCCCCGATAGCTGGGTGCGTTCAGGGCATCTTACCACCTTATAAACCCACGCTGGGCTCCCCGAGGGCTGCCTCCCATGGCCTTAACTCTGGGGGTCAGGGTCTAAAGGGGCGAGAGGGGGAAGGCCGCCCTCTTGTCGGGGCTCCTCCTGGCTTCGGTATGGCCCAGCTTTGGAGGCTCCGGGACTGACTCTACCCCTTAGGGGATGGGAGGCCGACTGAGGCTGCCTAGGAGGTGCCCACACTGAGCCGGTAGGGGTGGGGTGAGCTGGGACCTGGAGGGGGGTGAGTGGGGAGGGGACAAGGGAGCGTAGGCCAGGGACCCCCACCCCGTGGCCCCCCCAGGCCCCCAACTCTCCGGTGTGGACGGCGGACCCTGCCCCCACTCCGCGTCCATCCCATCCTGCACCTCCCACGCCGCCAGGGCTCCCTCCTGCCGCGCCACTGCTCACATTAATCTCCGCGAGGCTCACTGCTGACCCAAGCGAAACAGAGTTTGCCTTTCCCCCTCTCGGCAGTCTTCTGATGGCAAAGCAAAAAGGATCGCCATGCGCGCTCACCCCCGACCTCCCTGCCCAGGGGGGACCATTCTGGGAAATGAGCTGTCCCACGGGGCCATTCGGGGTACCAGGGAGGGAGGCGGAGTGCCGCTGCTCCCAGAGCCACTCTTGGGTGCTGACCCTCCCTCCCCAGCGGCACACGTGTGACACTCCTACCAGGTCCCTGAATCTTCCCAGATATTCACGGCATGTGTGCAAGAGACGGCATGGTCCCTGCCCGTGGCTTGTCTGTGACACAGACATAGGTGACACGCTTGAGCCGGAGAGCGGGGCTGGAGCCTGCACCACGAGGTGTGGCCCGATCTGCGGACGGCGGAGAGGGCTCCAGCAGGACGGAGAAGGCGGACAGCACGGGCGGAGGGCGTGGGGTGGGAGCGCCGGCGTGGGCCACCACGGGCGGGCACACCTGTGGGTGCGTGGGCAGCCGCTCCCCGAGAAAGGCCTCGGTCAAGGTGGGCTCTCTCGCACGTGACTCCCTCTGGCGCGCACCGGACGGCCCAGGGCCTCCTGCGTGAACTGCTGAGTGGCCTCGCGCCAGGAAGGCCTCTGGAGACTCAGCCTCGGTGTCCGTGCCAAGGCCACTCGGGGTGGGCTGCGGGTCATGACAGACCACCGGGGCAAAGCTGCGGGTTCTGCCCAGTCCTTGACCTCATTCCCAAGGGCAGGCCCGGGGTTCCACCTGCTCCCAGCTCAGCGGCCCGGGTGGCCTGGGGAGAGGCGGGCGGGCGGGACAGGGTGGTCAGCTCCTGCCAGGAGGTGCCGGCTGAGCTCTCCGCGGCCCGCGCCACTGCAGCTGGTGTGCGCACCTCGCTCACCCTGTACTTCCCTCTCCGGGAAGGGGCTTTGTCGCGGCCAGCAGAAAGGAGACTCCCCTTGATGTCCGCCCCCGCCTGGCCTGGGATGAAGGTGGGCCCAGCACTGCCTCCCTCAGCCAAGAACTTGACCCTAGGAGCACCCAGTCCTGGGGGGGCAGCACCTGGGCAGCGGGGCCTAGGACACCACTTTGGAAAGCTCCTGACCCTTCTGCCGAGAGGGAGCCTAGTCCCAGCCCCAGCGGCTCTGGCTGTGACGAGCCCCAGGAACGGGTCTGAAGGCCAGAAGGCCGGCACCATGGGCTGTCTGTCTGTCTGTGGTGGGGAGATGCGCCATCCCTGCCGAAGGCCCCCTCCCCACCAGCCGGTCCCCCAGCCCGTGTGCCCCTCTTAGGTCTGGACTGGCCGCCGGAGGGAGGGGAGCCGCAGTACCCTCCTGGACGAGACCTGCCAGCCCCGTCATCCCTGATTAGTGGGTAATGGCCTCCTTGACGCACAGTTTTATTAATTGAATTACTAAGTGCTGAGGTGACCTTGGCCGGTTCTGCTGAGAGGGCTGTTCTCTCGGGAGGAGCAGGTGGTCGGACGGGACGGGACGCACCTGGACATGCTCGGCCCAGGCTGGGGCAGGCGGGGAGCCCTGCCCTCCTCCAGAAGGCCGCCCTCCCCAGAGCGCCCCCGTGGCGCCTCCCACCACTGCGGGACGGAGGGGAAGGCGGCGGGGACAAGGACGGTGCTGCTCCCACAGAGGGGACGGGGACGAGTGTGCAAGAGACGGGGTCCCCGCCCGCAGGGGAGCTTTCCCGCTCTCCCCCAAGGCCGGCAGTCGCTCCCCAAATGCTGCCTCCAGTGGCGGCTCGAGCGGGCAGCGGCCGCCCCCTGGTGGCCATGCAGGCTCCCGGCCAGGCCGGCTCCCCGCTTGACATCCAGGCGGGCCCCCCCGCCGCGCCCTGGGGCTTCTCCCTTGCCCACGCCTGTGCCCCCAGGCCTCTGCAGACCCCAGGGCTCCACTGGGGTGGGTTGAGCTGGGTGGGCTGGGGGTGGTGCGGGGTGAGCAGGCCGGGGAGGGCTCAGAGGAGGCCTGGACAGTCGCCGTGGGCTGAGAGTCGGGCAAGATGAGGGCCCGGAGCGCAGGTGGGGCGGCAGGGTCAGGGTTAGGGGTGCTGGGTGGGCTGAGCCAGCGGAAGGGCACATGGAGGGGGTCACAGGACCAGCATGGTGTGCAGCCGACCCAGCCCTGGGGGGGGTGTGGCCAGGGGGATGGGGCGGGGCAGTGTGGGGTCGGGGTGCCAGGATCCGTGCTGCAGGGGCCCACTGCCGACCTATTAGTTGCCCCTGTCCCTTTGGGTGGAGGACTGCCCTCCCCCAGTGGGCATTTAGGGCCCACTGAGGACCAGGTAGCCCCAAGGACACTGCCAGGTGATGCCAGGCGACCCCTGCCCAGAGCAGCTGCGACACGTCCCGTGCGGGTATAGCACCCCGCCTGTAGCACCGGGTTCACACACGCCTCATGTGACCTGGTCTTTAATGGCAGCACTGGGGGGTGCGCAGCAAACTGAAGTTCCCTCAGGCTGGAGGAAGGCACACGGGGGTGTGGGGCGCGGGGCACCCAGAGGGGGAGCGTGGCACACCACTCAAGGCTGTGGGGACAGCCTCCCTCTGGCCTTGCCCCTCCTGGCCTTGCGGCTCCAGCCAAGGAAGGGCCTGGGGCCGGCCTGTGCGGGAGTGGGCGCCCCCCAGCCACACTCCTTCTGGCTCCTCAGAAGCGCCCCCAGGGTCGGCCGATGGTGCCCCTGCTGTCGGGACAGAACCGAGTCCCAGTCAGCACCCCTGGCCCATCCTGCCCGTGGCCAGCCGGGGAGTGACCGGGGAGGGGGTGGCTGGGCCATCAGGGGCGAGCCGGGGGTCCGGGGAGGACCGGGCGCCACGCGGGGCTGGGTGAAGGCCACGGGACAGCGCTTGTAGCTCCTCAGCCCCAGGCGTCCTCAAGTGTGGGCATGAGGCCCGCAGAGGGCCGGGGGGCTGCTGCCCAGAAGCCACCCCGGGGCGGGAGTCACCCACGTGCAGCATCCTCTTCCCCATGCCCTCTGGGCTTCTGGGGCCGCCGGGGCTCACCGTGCCAGGGGGCTCTACCCTGGGCAGCAGCGTGACCACCTGCAGGCTCACGCCCTCGTCGCCCACGCCCCTCAGCTGGGCCACCACCTCGGCGTGCCTCCACCACTTGCACGGCTGCCCGTTCAGGGACACGATGTAGTCGCCCTCACGCAGTCCAGCTGCCTGCGGGGCACGGCGGAGGTCCGGGAGTTCCCTGTGGGCACCCAGCCCCTCTGCCCATAGTCCCTTCTGCCCCCACACTCCAGCAGCCTGTGCTCAGCACAGGACCTTGGCCCCGGGGGTGGGACAGGGGCCTTACCGCCGCTGGGCCCCCAGGGATGACAGCCGCGATGAGGACAGGCGCGTCTCCGCGCAGCGTGAGGCCAAAGCCAGCCTCCCCGCGGGTCACGTGGACAGGCCCCACTAGCCGCCAGCAGTTCCTGGCTGAGAACACAGACAGGGGCCCCTGCGGGTGGGGCGAGGGGGTGTCACTGGCCTGGCTGGGCCGCCCCAACACCTCCCACCCAACCTCTACGTCTTGGGTCCGAGAGCAGGTGCGGCAAAGGGGCTGGGCAGGGCTGGGCTGCCATCACGGCCTGTCCGGGGTCCTCAGCCCACCCGTGCTGGGGTGCAGTGGGGGGGTGGTGACCTGGGCACAGGGTGCTCACCAGGCGCTGAAAGATATCGGTCACCTTCACCCTGGAGAAGCTGGGCGCCCTGACCTCCGGCTTCTGCTGTGTTTTAGCTGAAAGGACAAAGGACAGGACGAAGCCCAAAGCTCTGGGACGCTCAGCCCTGGGCGCAGCCGCGACCTGGGTCAGCCCCAGCAGAGCACATGGCCCGAGGAGCAGCCTGCTCCATGCATACTGCCACCCTCTGGGCCTGGCTGCTCCCTCCACCCCCACCCCGGGGGCTCCTGGGGGTCCCACACTCCAGCCACGCCTGCCTGCTCCTGCAAAGCCTGAGATGCTGGGTGGCCCGCCTGTGGACACCGGCCATCGGGCCATAGCTGATTCCCACCCTGGGGATGGCGAGACCCGGGAGAGCAAGGGAGACCCGGAGAGCAAGGAAGCGGGCCCCCTGGGCTCCTCCCAAGGGATGGCCACGCGACTGCGGGCCTTAGCCCACGGGCGCCCGCAGGCTGGACACCCCTGTCCCGAGGGGCCGGGTGGCTCACGCTGGATGTCGGGAGCCTCAGTGGTCTCCAGGAAGTCGTCCTCGAGGTCGAGCTCTGAGTACTTGGCCAGGGAGCGCCTCAGCGCCTGGGCCAGCACGGCCTGCAGCAGGTCGACTGTGCGCAGGGCGCGGCCCACCGCGTGCAGCCTCAGGGCCTCCTCCTGGCCCAGGATGCTGCGCTTCAGGTGGGCCTTGCCTGTGTGGGACGGGGCAGACCTCGCGTCTCGGGTCCCCACCCGGCCCCGGGGACAGAACCCCGCGCCCCCCCCCCCCAGGCCGCAGCAAGCCGGGGACAGGCGAGGGCTTCTGGGTCCATCTTGGGGGTGCGCTGCCCCTTGTGGGAGGCTGGGCCACATAGGAGCGGCCTCCCGCGAGCGCCCACACACGCCCAGGCCCCCTGCCTCGCTCAGGCCTGCTCTGGGAGCGGCCTGAGCAGGGGACAGGCAGGAGGGGAGCAGGGGGCCTGCAGGGGACAGGCTGGGACACCAGGCATGCCTGGGAGAGGTGACTCAGGAAGGATGGGGCACTCGGGCCCCTCGGCGGGCACCCCCCCTACCCCGCAAGGCCGCCTCACCCAGCTTCCTGCGCTCCTCCGGCTCCCGCGGCAGCCCAGCGCCCCACGGCTCCGGCTCCAATGTGGCCGGGCGCCCACGTAAGGCCTGCTGCCGCGCGGGGAAGTCCGCCTCGGCCGCTGCTGGGTCGAGAGAGGGCTGTGAGCCCCTCCAGCTGGGGCCTCGAAGGGGCAAAGACGGGCGGGTGGGGCACTCACGGGGACTGTCGCAGAGCGCCATGGCCGTGTGGTAGTGGGCCAGGGCACGGAAGTACTCTGCCTTGACGTGTGCCAGGGTGGTCCAGGGGAAGGGCACATAGTCCCGCACAGGTGGCTGGGCCATGGTCTGGTGCACCTGCCTGTACTCGGCCGCCACCTGGGGCACACGTGGTGGGAGGCTGGGGTCTCCTCTGGGGTTCCAGGATGAACCCGGCAGCCTCCGCCCCGCCCCTCCCCACCCTGGGGCCTGGCCTCCACCTGCCCCGACCCCAGGCCCCACCCTGCATCCCAACCGGGCCCAGCCCAGGGATCTGGGCCCCAGCTGCCGCTCTGATGGGTGCTGCCCGAGGGGCAGGGACTCAGGACCTGAGGGTCCTGACAACAGCTGGCTTTGGGAACCAGCTGGAGACACAGCTGCAGCACCCCACCCTTCCCTGCACGGACCCCCGGTCCCGGCCCTCCTGCTCATCCAGCCCCCACGGCTTGGCCAGGCCTCCCGCGAGACAAGGGCTCGCTGTCCTCACCTGGGCAGCCTCCTGAGCCAGGCGTAGCTGAGCCAAGCAATCCTGGGGGGCTTCAGGGGACGGGAGCAGGAGACCTTCAAAGATGCACTCTTGGGCCTGGGCTGTCATGAGTCGCTCCAGCATGGAGAGCGAGGCTGGGCTCATGTCAGGGCTGGGTGCTCGGGAAAAGTTCTCCCTTAGGAGACTGAAGGCCCCTGCGGAGGAGCGCTCACAGCAGGTGGGCAGGACTGCCGGCCACACCCCCAGGAAGGGGGGGATCCCCGTGCAGCAGGGGCCATCCCACCGGCCCTGACCCCACATGCCCCAGAGGCACCCTGACTGCAGCCCGCCCTCACCGGCAGCCCTCTGAAAGGCCTCGATGGCGCGCTGGGTGCCCTCGGGGCAGGAACGGTCCTGGCGAGCCCCAATCTGGGTGTGCAGGGCCCCGATGTTGAAAAGCACACTGGCCTTCTCGAAAGCCAGGGCCCGCTGCTGGGCCGGGACCCCTGTCAGCGAGTCATACCTGTGGCGGGGTGAGGCCGGGTGGAATTCCCACAGCAAGCGGCTGGGAGTCGCGGCCAGGGCTTGGGGGAGCTGTCGGTGGGGACCATGGACACCCGCCCAGCCCGGCCCTACCAGTGGAAGTACAGCCCGAGATTCCCAGGAGGGGCGACGAAGCGTGCGTCCAGGAAGCAGAGCTGGTTGTAGTAGGCCATGAGTGGCCCCAGGCCCGCCTCGCTCTGGCTGGGGGTCCGGGCAGCCTGCAGGTACGTGCCATCTGGGCCCTGGCACCCAGGCCAGGCCACAGCATGGACTCCCCGCCCCGGGAGCCCCTTCAGACGTCCCAGCCCCGCAGGAGCGCTCCAGGGTCTTGGGGGGATGGGGTCATAGGCCCTCTCTGGGGCTGTTGTGGGCTCCGTTCTGGGCGGGGAGACTGTGAAAAGCCCAGGAGAGGCCCAGGCAGGGTCCCTGGGAGGGGACCGGCACAGAGCAGCGGTTCCCAAAGGCCCAGCAGAAGGTGGTGAGAACAGACCATCCCCCGCATGTACGAGCCGTCTGGGTGCCTTCCACCGTCCCTCCGGATGCCTATGCTCCTCTTCTCTGTTCCTGACTGAATCCCCTTTTCCCTCATTTGTGACCTGGGAGTGGCTAGTCTCCCAGGTTGGGGGGCGGTGGGATGGGATGGGGAAGGGGGAGGGGGGCGGGGGGGAGAGCCCACCCACCTGCCGCAGGTCCTCCAGCTCCCTGATTTCGGCCTCGTAGGAGGCGCTGTCCTCTCCAAAGTGCCCAGAGATCAGCTCCTGGTTGGGGAGGAGCAGGTGCCAGGCTTCTCTGGTCACCCCGCCCCACGCAGGCGAAGACGGGGAGTGGAAGGGAAGCCCTGGGCCCCTGGAGAAGGGCTGAGGACTGGTGTGGGGGGGGTCCCGCCCCACAGACATGGGGTTCGGGGATGCAGAGTCCCTCGCCGGGCCCTGTACAGCAGGTGCTCTCGACACCAGACAGGCGAGAGGCCTGCTGGGCACAGGCTAGCTGCCCCCAGGCGGCCTGGCTCACGAACCCCGATGAGTGTTCTGCAGCAGAGGCTCTGGCTCTGACTGGAGGGCCCCCAGCCAGTGGGGTGCTCAGAGCACGGGTCAGGGAACCCTGTCGCCATCTCGGCCTTCCAGCAGGATGACCGGCTCTGCCGTGCCTAACCCGCCCCCCCTGTAGGGGCTCTTCTGCAAAGCCCCCCCCGCCCCCCCCGCCCGCAAGCCCAGCCCAGGCAGGTTCCGCCTCCCTCCGCACCTCTTTCCCCATCTGTTCAAGGACACGCTGGACCGGGAAGCCTCCGTGATCCCTGCACACCCCAGGGCAGGTGCGAGCCCCAGGTCATAGGTCAGCGCTCACCTTCAGGGGTGTGGACCAGTCCAGCTCCTTGGTCTCCTTCAGCCCCAAGGGGATCATAGGGACAGTGATGCCTTTGCTAGAACCAGAGCCATGGAGCCCAGTCTCTGAGGCTGGACCCTGCTGTCCCCAGTGGCCACTCCCTACGTCCCCAGCCGCACGGAACCCCACCCCTCCGACTCCGATCCACGTCCGACACACACCCTATGGCACACGGACGCTGCTCTGGTGCCCTCACACCTGTTCCCACTCAGCCTCTGACCTGGATCCCGTGCTTCCGGATGCACACGCACACACACACCCCCGGGGCCGGCCGTGTCCTCGCACACACACGCACACCCCCGGCCCTGACCGTGTTCGAGCACACGCACACGAGCACACGCACACACGCACACCCCCGGGGCCAGCCGTGTCCTCGCACACACACGCACACACGCACACGCACACCCCCGGGGCCAGCCGTGTCCTCGCACGCGCACACACGCACACCCCCGGCCCTGACCGTGTTCTCACACACGCACACACGCACACGCACACACGCACACCCCCGGGGCCAGCCGTGTCCTCGCACACACACGCACATGCGCACACGCACAGCCCCGGGGCCGGCCGTGTCCTCGCACGCGCACACGCACACCCCCGGCCCTGACCGTGTTCTCACACACGCACACGCGCACACGCACACACGCACACCCCGGGGCCGGCCGTGTCCCGCGCACGCACCCCTCGGGCTGGTCAGCCTCCACGCGGCCGCCGCTGAGCTCGTCCAGCTCCTCTTTCAGCAGCTGCAGACTGGAGTTGACGTAGCTCAGCTCCAGGGCCACCGTCTCCCTGACCCAGGCGTTGCTGGTGGCTCTGGGGAGGCCAAGGTGAGCTGAGCCGCAGCTCGGCAGGTGGACGGCACGCAGCCCCGGCCTGGCCTCCGGAGCCCCCACAGCATGCTGTGCTTGCGGGCCCAGCCCCATTGGGGGACAGCACTGGGGTTCAGGGCCCACCCTGTGACCTCCCTCTTCTCTTCTGAGTCCCCCCTACAGCTGCTGTTGATTTCTGTCCACGCATACAAACGGCGCCTCCGGCCCAGGGCACATCCCTCGGACCCAGACCTTCCAGGCCACAGCTCTGGCCCCCCCCCGCCGCTCTCCCGGGACGCAGGCTCTGGCTCGCTCTCCACAGCAACACAAAAAATAAGCTTTCCTGGAAAGGTGGGGGGTCAGGCCCTCTCTGTGCCTACATCTGGGCACCTGACAGAAGGGCCGATGGGTCCCCAGGAAGGCCCGGCTGAGAGCAGGGTTGGGCTGGACAGGGACACAGGGCAGCTAAGGAAACGGAGGAGCCCTTGGGGCCCGGCAGACCCGGTACCGGAACCTGTCGGCCGGCTCTGCACACAGTGGCTGGGGCTCCGGCAGGTCGTACCACCCTCCCGGGCCCTCAGCCACCGAGCGGGCTCGGGGAGACACGGGTGAAGGTCTGATCAGGTGTGCAGCCGCCATTCTCATGGGGACGCGCCCCTTCAGCCCACAGGACACTTTCCCGGGTCCCCAACCTTGGGACACCTGTCAGATCTCAGCCTGGACGGTGCCTGTGGCCACCACATACAGATCAGAGGCTCTCACCCCACACACCCGCCCCGCCAGCCCCTGAGCTGACCCCTGCCAGGGAGCGCCAGCAAGGCAGGAGCCCGGGCGTCTTGTGAGGCTTTCCGCTGACGGCTGCCCCAGAGCCCGGTGGGAGGCCCAGCCCCTTCTCCTGGGAGCCCGCAACGGCCATCGTCATCGGCTCCCGTGTCCCTCTCCCAAACCAGACCACAAGGGCGGGCACCTAGTCGGGTTGCTGCCTCGCACTCATCACCCAGCACAGGCCCGGCTGGCTGAGGGCCCGGGGGCGGCACCCCCTCCTGAGCCACGGGGGTGGCCGCCGGCACTCACCTGTACAGGTTCTCAGCGCCTGTCCGCATCTGCAGCTCCTTGGTGATCTGCTGGCGGACCCGGGCCCTGCGGCTCTGTGGGCGCCCACGCGGGCTCTGGGCCAGCGAGTTGGAGCCCTGTGGAGAGGCTGAGGGTGACAGGCGCCGGACCAGGCGTCTGCCAACAGCTCCCCGGTGCCAGAAGACTCTGGCAGGTGGGGGAGGCGCGGCCCCCACTGATGGCAGCAGCCAGCTCAGGCCTGGCTGAGGCAGGAGCACGGGAGGAGGGGAGTAGGGCAGCCGGGCCGGGAAGAACACAGCAGGTGGGAGCCGTGGCTGGGGCTGGGGCTCCTATTCTGTGGGGCCGGCACCAGTGCAACGGGACTCTGGAAGCCCCTGGCAGGAGGTGGCCATCTGCTCACCATACAGCCTTCTGTACTTGTAAAAAAGACTTAGGGCCGCCTGGGTGACTCAGTCAGGGAAGCATCTGCCTTCGGCTCGGGTCGTGATCCCGGGGGGTCTGGGTCCAAACTCCGCTTTGGGCTCCACGGAGAACCTGCTTCTCCCTCTCCCTCTGCATCTCCCTGGATTGTGCACCTGCTTTTTAAAATCTTTTTAAGTTTATGTGTTAACTTGAGAGAGAGGGAGAGAGAGGGAGAGTGCGGGAGAGTGCTTGCAGGCATGCACGGAGTGGGGAATGGGCAGAGGCAGAGAAAAGTCTTGAGCAGACGCCCTGCTGAGTGTGGAGTGTGACTGGGGCTCGATCTCACAGCCCTGAGATCATGACCTGAGCTGAAATGTAGAGCCAGACGCTTAGCTAACTGAGTCGCCCAGGCGTCCTCCTGCACTTCTGAATTTCATTCCATAACCGCCATGATTCGCTCTTCCCGCACAACTCTGGCATAAGCTCAGGCGTGGCCATGTGGGGACGACCTAGCCCAGATCTTGCCAAGGTGCTAAGGGCAAGGAGGCAGCCTACAGGACGCTGGAAGCTTTCCAGCCCACTTGTTCTCTGGGGTGCTTGGCGCACCTTGAGCCTGGGATGGGCTCCATCCCTGAGGGCTGTTCACTGGTGGGGTCCCTTTGGGCAAATGCTCAAAGCACAGGCCCAGGGCCGCTCAGCTCCCAGGCAGCGGGTCAGGCCTCCTGACTGCCCACTGCCCACCTCGGCCATGATTCCTCATTGTATGGGGCAATCTTGCCAGCTGCCGGTGTCTCGGGGCCCTGGGGCAGGAAAGCCATGCAGCAGCTGCAAGCAGAGATGTGGGGTCCCTAGGCACAGAGATGCTGCAGACGGGTGCCTGGAGGATCCAGCCAGGGAAGGTGAGGGTCCCCCGCAGGAGCCAGGACAGGGAGCTGGAGCAGCTCTCAGGGCCCTACACGACCATGCCTCCTCCTGGCCATTTAAGGATCTACTGTGTGGGACAGTCACCAGCCCTGGAGCCAGGAAGAACTTCTCAGAATGCACCTTCTCTGGGCAACGTCCCCAAAGATGGTCACACGGCCCCTGAGCACAGTGGGGGTGAGGCCAGTGGCTCCCGGGACCCCATCCTGACACAGGGAAAGGGAAGTGTCTCCATGCAGTGCTGAGACCAGGCTCCTGCAGCATCCACCATCTGCCACGTGTTGGAGGAAATGCGTCCCCCTTTGGCGTGCCCCCCACTGTTAGGCATAGGGCAATTTCACACCCTTTAGGGGCTATATCTTGCCCTCATGGAGGGCTCCCTAGAAAAGGCCTCCTACCCTCCCACCTTAAGGCTCCTGGCGGATGGCCAACTTGGATTATGACTCAACATCTCCCCCACGCTCCAGCGTTCTCAAGAGTGATCAATCAAGGAAGACCTCCCTGGGCAGCATCCCCTCCAGGAGGCCTGAGAACCTGGGGAGGGAGATGCAGGCCACTGTCGAAGCTACATCCCTCCCTTTCTGAAAGTCCGACTACAAAGCTCCAGCAGGCTCTGGGCCAGCAGCCATGACCGTCTGCCCGGATAGGGGGTGGTCCATGTGCGGGGCAGAGCCCATCAGCTCAGGAGGACTGTCATCATCCCCACTGTCTGGTCTCTGATGTCCAGTGCTCCCGGAGAGACGTGCTGGAAGTGGGGAGACCTGCAGCCTCCGAGCCAGAAGCTACTCTGAGCCCTGTAGCACCCCTCAGGGGCCTGGTATGAACATGGTGACCGCCTCTTGGTGACCCCCCAGGGAATGTCTAAGCTCCAGGCTGCAGAGAGGGGCCGCGCCCTCCTTCCCAGCACAGGCTCCCTCGGTCTCCACCTCCCACCCACCTTGCAGAGCTTCCCCAGTACTCCTGGAAAGGGTCCACAGTCCCAGTCGGGGCCCCAGGGTTAGGGACCACAGAGGGGGAGGAGCGCGTGGGGAGTGAGAAAAGGACGAACTGGCCGGCTGTGAAGTCCTGCGGCCATTTCCTGCTCCTGCGAGGCTCCAGCTGCCTGCCTGCCGCCATGGAAAGTTTCATCAAATACAGAGCCAGGTGCCCAGGGCAAAGGGGAACCGCCCCGCGGAGAGGGAGGGAAAAGGGAAAGGAGAAATGGGGGGTTCCGAACTAGCACGGAAGCCACGGGCCGTCACACACCAGAGCTCAACACCTGCCCCAGAACGGGGCCCGGAGCGCCCCCCAGCCCCGCGGAGCGGCGGAGACGACCGAGCTGTACCTGCGCTCCCACCCACTCCTGGGCGGCACAGGACGAGCCCCGCATCCGCCAGAGAGGAGGCCAGCACAGGCGCGCATCGCGGAGCGGGCGCTGCACCGCGCCTCAGTTTCCCCAGAGGTAGGCCGGCTGGCCTCCGGGGGAGAGCGGAGGAGCGCGGCTGCCGCAACGAGGAGCCGCCGCCGACCCCGCAAGCCGACGCTGGGGGTCCCGGACCCCGCCTCCGGGAGACCCCAGCCCCGCGGACGCACCCACCTTGAGACCGCCGCCGGCCTCCTGCAGCCTCGCGCTCTCCTCGCCGGCGCCCGGGCCGTCCGGCCTCTCCTCGGGGATCATCGCCGCCCGCCGCTCGCCGCCCGCCGCTCGGGCCGTGCCCGCCTGGAAGGTCCCTCCCGGGCGCCGCGCCGGGTGTCCCCCGCCGTCCCCTCCTCCCCAGCGGCGGGCGCGGGCCGGCTGAAGGGGGCGTGGTGCCGAGCCGAGCGTGCGAAACTTGTCTTTGCCCAACCGGCGGCCGCGACGGCACCAACGAACAGCAGCCGCAGCCAACCAGAGCGCGAGGGAGGCGGGCTCGGGTCGGCCAGGCCCCGCCCACGCGGCCGTGGAGTCCCGGGGGAATGCGGTCGCCCCTGGCAACCGCCCGGCCCCAAGCCGCGCGGCCGGGAGGGGCTCAGACTGCGCATGCGCCTCGGCGCCGCTCAGCGTGCGGGAAAGTTAGGGAAAAAGGAGAAAAGCAACTCGGTAAACATCGCCCGCCTGACCTTCCAGGCGCCTGCGTGTTGGGCTCCCTGAGCCCGACCCCACGGACCTGCGCTGCGCGGCTGGGTGCCGCCCCCCAGCAACGCGCCCCCGAGGAGCGCGTCCGAGGGATGTTGCCGCCGCCCCCGCGCCGTCCGTGGGCTCGCTGCCCCGCCCGCGCGCTCGCTCCCGGAGCCCGACTCCGGCCTCCGCTCGCAGCACCGGCCTCCACAATCGACGTCCAGAACCGACTCGGCCTCCAGGACCAGCCTGGCCCGCAGAACCGGCTCCCGGAGTCAGACCGTCCAGAACCCGCGCTCCCGGCGGGGCTGTGCCGGCAGCGGACCCCCACGCGCGCCCCTCCAGAGCTTCCCCGGGTCCGCGGGCTCCGGAACACGCGCGGATTTCCTGCGGGGCTCGCCTCCCTCCACGCACACCTCTCGTGGGGGCAGAGACACACGCACAAGCAGCAGGCGGGCCGGTGCTCCTCGGGTTCGCTGAAGACCCGGTCTCCCGGCCTCCCCGCCCGCCGGGGTCCCTGCGGCGCCGGCCCGAGGGCTGGCTGTCCCCCGCGCGCATCCCGGTGCTGACCCGCGGGCTCGCTGCCCCCCACGCGCGCATCCCGGTACTTACCTGCGTTCTCGCCCTCCCCCTCCCCACGCAAGCCGAGGCCTGCAGTGGCGGAGCTAAACCTGTAAGCTAAGCCGCTTGGCCGGCCCTGGCCATCTGACACAGGAGAGCAGCAAAACAAGACAGCCGGTAACTCCAGGGAAAATAAAAAGTAATCACAGACTCACCTGACTTAGCTGTGCATTCCTTTTCCAGCCCTAATAATGTAATCAGACGTCCTCCTGGCATCCTGACCTCAGGGCAGTTATCACCGGATTCTGTTAGGAGGAGGGGAGAGGTGAAGGTGGAGGGGGACAGGCCAAGTGCAAGGGAGACATGCTTACACTTCATCCTCTTGAGGCTAAGTCAACCAGTAACTCCAAAATTAGGAAACAGCCCTCCAGAAGCAGAGGCATGTCGTTCAGAACCATGGGATTCACCAGCCCCAGGGGTCACAGGGGTCGCCCCTGGCGGACAAGGGAGGGTGGCTGCTTCTTCCCTAAGCAGTTCTAGCAGAAGGCTGTGCTTGGTGACCCCGGGCACCGTCAGTAATGAAGCCATCCCAGAGCCGTGTTTTAGACAGCGGATGTTTAGAAATTGGCAACAAAAAACATTCAAAGGAAAACATAACCATTTGGAAGTGAGGATATCATTCTAAAACAAGGTTTGAATGGAAAGAAAGTTAAAACACAAACTGCACATTACCTAAAATGTAACTGGAAAGTAAATTAAATTAAATAAAACAAATGGTGGGGCGCCTGGGTGGCTCAGTGGGTTAAGCCTCTGCCTTCGGCTCAGGTCATGATCCCAGGGTCCTGGGATCGAGCCCCGCATTGGGCTCTCTGCTCAGCGGGGAGCCTGCTTCCTCTTCTTTCTCTCTCTGCCTGCCTCTCTGCCTCCTTGTGGTCTGTCAAATAAATTAAAAAAAAAAAAAATCTTAAAAGAAACCCCAAAAAACAAATGGACTAAACCGAAGGCAATTCCGTGAACTTAGGTGGCTTTACTGCCTATACCTGTGTGTGTGCGTATAGGACAGAAATTCACAAAGTACGAAGAGGAAACAAATAAAGATTAAAAGTTGGCTTCAGTCATGTAGCAAAAATGCTGAGTGTTCGGGAAAACAACGTCGACAAGTCCTCAAGAGGGCCCATCAGCGCAAACAGAGGTCGTGTCAGCGAGGACCGGCCTCTGACTGCGTGGGCTCCAGACACAGCGGTTCAGCCACAGGGAGTGACATGTTTATTATTTGTCCCCAGACCGCCTGGGCAGCAGGGAGCAGGGTACCATTCCCAGGCTCTTGTCCTGTCCAGGGAACGATGGCCAGGCTCAGCCCCAGAAGGTGTAGACCACTGGGGTATAACGGAAGGGAGCGGACACTATGGGGAGGGGCTGCTGGCAGAGGCCGGGGACAGCACACAGACTCGCTGCCCAGACGCCAGGAGGACACGGTGAGCCACAGAGGTCCCCGCAGGCCTCCTGCCGGTCACTGATCTGCACGCAGAGGCTGAGGACACAGCGGGTCAAGAGGGTAGTCTTCCAGGTACGTGTGGGAGAGCCCCATGGGAGGAGACTGTGTCTCCCCGCCTCTGGACTCTGTCACTACAGGCACAGTGCCGAGAACGGTGTGGTCACCTTGGGACTTGGGGGAAAGCATGGACATGCTGAGCGTGGCAGAGGCCCCGGGCCCGGCACCTCCTCTGGTTTCTGGCTCCTCTCTATCCCAGTCACTCATCCAAAGTCGGGCTTTGGATGCTGGCAGCCGAAAGTGTCCAACATGACACAGCAGGAATATAAGTAACAGCAAATCAGGTCCCACGGCGTGAGAATGCATGACCGGCCTGACCGAGCAGGCCCCACATCAGGAACCCGCCAGCCAAGGTGACCTCAGACTTACAGAGGGGAAGCCGCACGGGCATCTCCACGGGCCCCGGACATGTCGGGACAATTCAGCCGCTATTCTATGACAAATTCTAAGTACAACGGAAATGGAAGGGGCTAGCCCACTTTCATAAAGACAGTGTATCAAACGCAGACAGTGAGTGTATTACACACGGAAATCTTAAAACCATCCACATTCAAATCAGGAACGAGGTCTGGGTGCCACTGTTCTTCCGTGTGGCTTTGTCGTTCTCGTTAAGGAAATAATATAATAATAACAATAATAGGGGCGCCTGGGTAGCTCAGTGGGTTAAGCCCCTGTCTTCGGCTGGGGTCATGATCTCAGGGTCCTGAGATCGAGCCCCGCATCGGGCTCTCTGCTCCGCAGAGGGTCTGCTTCCCCCTCTCTCTCTGCCTGCCTCTCTGCCTACTTGTGATCTCTCTCTGTCAAATAAATAAAATCTTAAAAAAATTAAAAAAATTATAATGGTAATAATAGTAATAATAATGATGCAGGAAAACAAAATCTTAGGGAGAGGAGACAAAATTATCCTTATATTGAGGTGACATGATTGTGTGATTTGAAATCCCAGGAATATCAGCCGAAAGAACGATCAGAGCTGATTAGAGAACTTGGTAATGTAGCTCATTTCAAGCTAATTATGTTAGGGATGGAACTGTGCCCCCCTCTTCATATGTTGAGGCCCTGTCCCAGTGTGACAGTGTTTGGAAGGAGGGTGGGGGGTGGTTAGGCTTAGATGAGGCGGTGGGGGGTTGGGCCCCACGGCACGATCGGTGTCCTTGTAAGAAGGGACAGCAGAGCCTACGGCCCCCAGCAGGCAGGCCCAGGCGGAGAAGGCAGCCGTCTACAAAGAGGGAGAGGGCCCTCCCCGGAAACTGAAGCAGGGGTGCCTCGACCTTGGACAGCCTCCAGAACTGTGAGCAAATCAATTCCGGTTGCTGTAGGCTGCCCAGCCTGTGGTACTGTGTTATCGGGGCGGAGCAGATTAAGACACCGTATAAAGACTGCTTAAAACACGCACACGCGACTGGAGATTGAAAGATAGGAATGGGGAACATTCTCAGTCACAAGCACGACAAGACCGTCTGACGCCTAGCAGGGAGCTTCAGAAGAAATTACGTGATCTGCAAGACGTACCCAGTTTTACTCATCAACTTAAAACCACACTTGACCCCTGGTTGTACCACACACCTTGAGGAAATACCTGCTTACTATAAAAATGTCGGCTCTCCCTAGATGGGGCTTAAAGGTTTCCACGTAAACAAGCAAACTGCCAACGACGTGAGAAGAAAAAGGGGATAATTTGAATGACCTCAGGACTGGAGGAACGTTTTACACTGAAGTAGAAAATTCAGACACTGTAGAGGAAAAGATTGTATAATATGAAGATTTAATATTTCTGTTCTTTAAAAAGATTTTATTTATTCATGAGAGACAGAGAGAGAGGCAGAGGCAGAGGGAGAAGCAGCCTCCCTGCTCGAGCAGGGAGTCCGATGTGGGACTTGATCGTGGGACTCTGGGACCATGACCTGGGACGAAAGCAGACGCTTCACCGACTGAGCCCCCCGGGCGCCCAAGATTTAATATTTATTTCTAGCAAAACACAAAGAGGTCGAAAGACAAAGAAGAGAGAGAAGAAACTGCAACACGTGCAGTAAAGGACAAAGGAGAACCCCAAGTCACGGAGCCCCCAAACTAACTCCAGAGCAGTCGAAGGTCGTGACCGCGGACGAAGCGAGGAAAGGTTAGGGGTCCGTCCGCGCCCAGCCGGGACAGCGAGCCCCATGCCGGGTGCTGCAAACAGAGGAGATGGAACCCGGCACCGGTGTGAGCCTGCGGGACCCTGTGGAGGAGCAAGGGCAGCAGGTGTGGGCCCCGGAGCCCAGGCCAGGTCACAAAGTCCAGGACCTCACGGCTGGCCGGCGCCAGCGAGCTGCTCCCGCAGGAGGCTGTGTCCGCCCCTCAGGTTCTGTCACAAATACACAAAATATTTGAAAACAGTAAAATAAAAGGAGAGCTGTATGTAATGACTTCAAAGGCAGCCTGCATCATATCGTTAAGCAAAGAGCGCAAACTTCAGAGGACATCTGTGTGGGGGGGAT